AGGACTGTGTGCCGGGCCGTGCCACGTGCTGGCCGGTCGCAGACGATCGTGCTGCTGCGAGCGGGGACAAGGCCCTACCGGGGCCGGGGACCCAAACTCCAGCTGGGCCTCAGCCCCCGCGGTGCTGCCTCCGAAACCCTGACGGCGAACTCACCTTGTGTCTGACCTCTCCCACAGGCGCCGAAGCTGGCCGAGACCTACTGCGTCTGCCACCTGGCAACTGGGGACATGCTGCGGGCCATGGTGGCCTCGGGGTCCGAACTGGGCAAGCGGCTCAAAGAGACGATGGATTCAGGGAAGCTGGTGGGTAGCGGGGAGATGGGCTGGGAGGGGAGATTCCAGGCAGCACTTGGAATGAGAGCAGCCATAATTAGAAGCCTCAGTGACAAAACCCAATTAGTGGAGGAAGGCAGATTGCAGGGTGAAGGCAGGGGTGGGGGTTTTCCTTCTCATTATCTTGCAGGACAAACATTCTATGAAAACATCCTTGCTCTCCAAAATTGCTCTGTGCTTACCAGCAGCCTGCGTCCCTGCGTTGGTTCTTTCTGCCACCGTGCTGTTACACAGTCTGGCCGGCTATTTTGTGGCTCCTCAACAGTTTGAGGTGAAGGTTTATCCATGGAGCTGCAGGGTGTTACAGCCGTGCTTTGCGGCTCCCGTTTGTCTTCACGTGATGCCTGGGCTCCTGCGAGGTGGAAGACTTTGTTCAGAGGGTTCCTCTGCCTTCCCAGCAGTGGCATAAATGCTGTTTGCCTGTAACTGTAAGGTGAAAATACACTTAGGGGTGTTGCCATGGTAGTTGCAGTGGGTGCTGCGTAATGCTGTGTGAGAGACATGCTTTGGATCCCCAAGAGACCAGAGTTAGGATCTCCGACACACTTATTTTCTGAGGGTCTAATTATCTTGCCAGAATATTTTGGGGAAACTTGAAGGACGGCAAATTGCAGCGACTTGCCCTAAAGCGAAGCAGCACGGGGCCGATCTTGGGCATCGCTGCTGGCTGTCGTTCTCCCCATGACACCCCATGGAAAACCTGCAGGCCCCAGGTGGGAAGAGCGACGTGGCTTATCTCCAGCTTTCGCTCAAAGCTTGCATTGCAACACCCAGCCTGCAATAGCCCGGCTGGTTATGAAAGATAGGGACGTTATCTGGCAAGGCGGGTGGTATCTGCCACGTGTGTGTGTGTGGCAGCCGGCACCCCGGGGGGTCCGCAGGTATATCCTAGCCGCGTCCTCTGGCGCTGTGATAACTCAGCTGGGAGCACAGCAGCCTTCAGGACGGGTTTTTATGCTCGATTACGAAGCAGGACGCCGTTCTCCGAAAGGGGTAATCAGGAAAGCACAGAAGGGACTTGTTGCTTCCACCCAGACTGCCCCCTGCCTGTACGCTTCCCGCTCCGGGGCTCTTGTTTACGTGTGACGTGACAGTCTGGTCCCCAGTCCTGCTGGGTCCCAGCTGCGTGTGCTGGAGAGAACGGTGCTGCTGAGGAGAGCTGCTCTGGAAGAAACAGCTATTGTTGGGGCTGCAGCATCTGGTAGTACTTTCCAAATGCTGCAGTGTAGGACAGGCACTAATCCCAGCGGTACGCTGAGATCGTGATACGGGGAAAAACTCCTGCGAGGCCAGAGCTTGTCAGCAGCTGTTGAGCATTTACCTCCACGCAACGTTTATGAGAGTCAATGAGCAACTCGCCTGCTTTGCCCTTCCTGTCCAGGCCCGCCTACCGAGGGGACGTGTGGGTGAAGGTAGAGAGTAACAGGAAATAAAGGTTGTGTCGGTATTTTGTATTGTGAATTGGTTTAAAAAAAAAAATAATAATTTAAGGAGTTTGTCTTCACGCTGACAGTGTCCTGGGAAATACAGCAACCTGCGTAACAGTGAGGTTACACTGCTGGTCCAGCGCTGCACGGGCTGGAGTGTCCCTGGTGTGAAATGCCTCCTTAGCCACCTCTCGGTGTTGACACCCATGGCTTCCCTGACGTGGGCAGGTCTGAACACGCTGCTTTCGCCCTGTTAACCGCGGTGGCTGCTGGCTCTGGGACCGAGAACGGCTGTAAAAAGGGGTCTGGTGCAGCCTGGGCGCTGGCATGAGCGCAGCAGCTCTGGGGGCAGCTGTGTGTAAGATCGGCGTGGCCCTCCTGAGTGTGTGCCCGTCTCCTCTCCGCAGGTGAGCGATGAGATGGTGGTGGAGCTGATTGAGAACAACCTCGACTCCCCTCCCTGCAAGAACGGCTTCCTCCTGGATGGCTTCCCACGCACGGTGAAGCAGGCCGAAATGGTACGTGAGCTCCTGTTCGGGGTCTGCTCTGGCGTCTCCCCCTCCCCTGGAGACGGGGGTCCCTTGGCTGTGCCTCGGCGCCTCTGAGCTGGGTGTTTTCTGTTGCAGCTGGATGAGCTCCTGGAGAAGAGGAGAGAGAAGCTGGACTCTGTCATCGAGTTCAGCATCCCCGACTCCTTGCTGATCCGGAGAATCACTGGACGGTAATCCTTCTCTGCCAAACCCTCGGTGCACGGGGTGGGGTTTCCTAGTTCAGAGGAGAGTATCTTAATTTTGGATCCTCATGTCATTCTCGCAGTGTTTTGGGCTAGCTGCGGTGCTGGTCTGTGTTCGGTTTTTTTTGAGCATTCCTGCCCTGATCCTGCAGCTGGGCCAGCCTTGAACAGAGGCCCTTCATCGCCCTATCAATAGGGGTTGCCGATCTGAATCGGCGTCCTTGGTGACCCAGCCCAGCCTTTACGCCCAGCGTGCGACAGCTGATGTCTCGTGCTCTCTCCGGAGCTGCGACTGACTGCCCCCTTACGCAGGACACTGCATTCACGTTTGGGCAGTGCCAAACATCCCAGCTGGGGTCAGCTGTGGCCCTGCAGGTGCACACACAGGTCCCACTGCTTGCTGTTGCCCTGTGTCACCCTCACACCCCCAGGAGCTAGTCCCCTTCCCCACTACAGCATAAAGTAAAAATCAAAAGGATTTTTTTTTTTTTTTGATTTCCATCTCCTAGCGCAGCTGCTTTTTTCAGATGCCTGAAGAGGCCCTTGGTACAGAAATAGCTAGAAGAGATTTTTCTTAATAGAGGCTAATTGGGTTGCTATTGCAGATGTTTCTGTGCTGATGAGTGGCAGGTTCAGGAGACCTTGTCCTGGCACCAGGCTACTTTGCTGACACTTGCTTTCTGTCTTAGGCTGATTCACCCAGCGAGCGGCCGCTCCTATCACGAGGAGTTCAGACCCCCGAAAGAGCACATGAAGGACGATGTATGTGAGCTCCCAAGGCCGCAGCTTACGTTGCTTTGGGTTTAGCTGATGCTTTGCAGGATCCCTGGAAAAACTTAACTTCTTTCCTTCTCTCGTACCTTCTGTCCTGGCTTTCTGGGGAGCGTGGGGAGCTGCCTGGGCAGCCTGAGCCAACGGCACCGCAGGGAGCGAGGCCTGGAGGGATGAGTGAAGGGCATGGCCGTTCTGCAGAGCTGGCCTGGGCTCTGCCAGCCTCGGAACTTGTTGGACTCTGTCCATAGCTGAAGTTGCGGTGGGTTGCGACTGGTTTTCCTCCTGGGGAGCAACTGTAGCTGGTGTCTGCTCTGGAGGCTCCTTGGGCTCCTTTTAGCAAGCAGAGTGGTGTGTGCAGGAAAGGCCACGGTGCTGAATCCTTCTCTCTTCAGTGACTGCTCTGGGACTGGTCCGGCTGCCCTGGGTTCGCCCCGCTCTCCCCTGCGGACCTGGGCATTGCTTCTGCCGCTCTGCATTGTAGCCGGTCTTGGAGGAGGGGAGCAGGGGTTGTCATAGCTGCGGAGAGAAGGGGGGAGCATGCCACGCTGCAGCTAGCTGGAGACTGTCCCCTTGCTTCTCCCAGGTCACTGGAGAGCCCCTGATCCGCCGTTCAGATGATAACGAAACAGCCTTGAAAACCCGCCTGAAGGCCTATCACACGCAGACCTCTCCTCTGGTCTCCTACTACAGCAAGCGAGGGATCCATACGGCGGTGGATGCCTCCCAGTCTCCCGACGTGGTGTTTGCTAGCATCCTGGCAGCCTTCTCGAGAGCAACATGTAAAGACCTGGTTATGTTCATTTAGGGCTCTGTCCCAGGACTGAGCTCTCCCTTTTCTCTCTCTTTCTCTCTCTGTCTCTCCATCTCTGTCTCTTTGGGGCCAGGGAGGGTGAAGAGCTAAGCAGAGTAGAAGAGGAGGGGACAAGATGATGCAGCCCAAGGCAGGGCTGTGCTAATTCTCTATTAAACAAGCTGTTAACGGTCTCTATCTCGGTATATGTGAACGTCAGTCTGTCTGCAGATGCCGGAGGTTTGGCCCCTAGAGGTCGCAGCGAGCCCGAGCACCAGCCGCCTGCTGCCAGAAATGGGGTGTGCACCCCTTTGGGTCAAAAGGCTTTTGTTTCATTCTGTAGCTCCCTGGAAGGAGGTGTACTTTCCGCTCCTCCTGGCTGCTCCACAGAGGACTAGGAGAAGGTTGGAGATCAGGACTCAGCAGTGGGGGGAAGGACCTTCACAGGGTGCCGAATAGGTGATGCTCTCTGTCGGCTGCAGGGAATGAAACACGGGGTTGTTTGTGGGAAGCATGCGAAGGGCTGCGTGTGTTGGCTGGGGGAGCAGCCCTGGGAGGGACAGCTTGGCTGTGTGCGGGAGTGCAGCCTGCTGCTGCTCGGGGCTGGGTGAGAACTTGTTCTCATTGTATGTGTTTTATTCTCTGTGGGATGGCAGGTGAGCTGAGAGCACAGCCTGTCTTCCTCCCGTGGGGCTTGTGGGGCAGGAAAGAGGGTGGGTGAGAGCTGGGGGTGTTCAGCCTCTCCTCGTTCGTGGGCCCCAGTATAGCAAATAAGCGAGATGCTTTTTGCCTTTTTTTTTATATTTTAACAACATGAAGCCTCTGGACAGAGTCTGGCAGTCACTGTGTGTGGCAAGTTGGGATCTTCTGAGGACAAGAGAAGGACTTGGGTTTTATCTCTTCCCTCTTGCCTTGGCTTTGGCCAAGGAGATGAAGATGTGTTGAGCTTCTCCTGATCCCAAAGTCTAAATAAAGCCTTACTGAAAAACAAATGATTTTTCAAGGCCTAGAGAGATAGCGTTATTAACCACTGGCTTCATGTGCCCTTCAGCCAACGACCTTCGTTAGGAGATCATGGAAATGTACTAGTTTCTTGAGCAAATCAAGCAGCTCTGTCAGGCTGCCCATTTGAGGACACCATGTGTGGTGTGGTTAGTGCCCCGGCTTCTGCGGGCTATTACGCTGCTATATGGTGACCCTGCAAGGCTGGTGAGGACCTTTGCCCATGTGGGATTCCAGCCCTTCCTAGAGGACCCCGCTGTAAATGCAGATTGGCCCAGATGAAACTTTGTCCTTTGGCCTTCCATGTATGTTTACTGACTTAGTGTTATTGAGTACCCTCCTCTTTCGAGGAGGTGGCCCGTCTCCCTCCTGCGCCGCTGAGCTGCTGGGGGCTGTGTGTCCGGAGTAGATGCCTAATCCGTAGGAATCCCTTGCTCTTTTTCTTGCTAATTTCTCCTTTGTCTGAAAATCGTGCTCTGTTCTCATACATCCTTTCCAGGGACACCATCTCTTCCTTTCCAGCAAATAACATCAAGAACTGAAAGCAGTTGACTTGTTGCCCTTGAAAACATGTGACTGCGGGGAGAGAGGGTTTGAAAGTAAACGGTGGTGGTTTCGTCAGCAGCCTGCAGTCCCTTGAGATCCCCCAGATGGCCGTTGCCTTGTCGATCGTCTCTGGCTTTCCTGTGAAAGGGCAGCCCCGGCACGTGGCGTCAGCGTGCTGGGAGGTCGGGATAGCATTTAGCATAGGACTGCCGTGCTCCAGAGTAGTGGGAAGTGTGTTAGAGCTGCCCTGGCACCTTGATGACTGTAAAGATATTGGGAGTGGAAGCCGCTTTTATCTTGGCGTGTTGAGGAAGTCAAAGAGGAGAGCTGCAGCCCTCTACACACCGCCACAATGGCAGGAGGGGTTCCTGGCCAGCTGGTGTTCCTGGATTTGGTCATGGTTTTACTCCACAGCAAGAACAATGTGTTCTTCCACTCTCCGTTCCTTTTCCCCCTTGTGCTCACTTTGCATCCAGCTCACCAGCCTTTTTTCTGCCGTAAACCCATGATTAACTTTAATTTTTTTTTCCCTAAATCTATTTTTTTTCTTTTGTTCCCATTTATTCCAGCTGAGTGACTCCGTGAACCAGATGAGACACCACCAAACGCTGCACACTCTGCTACATCACCCATTGCAGCCCTCCCCTGGGTGCAGGGGAGGCAGGGAGGGGAGCTGGGAGGGGGTTATGATTGATGGGAGGGGGGAAAAAGGAGGTGGTAGACAAGGGGCTTGGGGGCTGATTTGGTTGGGTTTTGTTTGGATTTCTTATTCAGCAGAATCATTGTGAAGAGGAGATGGCCTTCTCTTTAGAAATCACTCTTTGGGGAGGCAAAACAATTGTACCGAGTGAAACATCGCTGCCAGTGATCAGGTGCAGGTCCTTGACCTGCTAGGAGGGTAGGGCTAGATGCTGTTCCAGGCTTCTCCAGGACTTTCAGGGCTTGTCTCGTGGGCTCTTAGTACTCTGAGGCTACTGCAAGGTTTGCCGTGAGTTTTCTAAAGTCGCTTCCTGTCAGCGAGGACCAAACTGAACAAATGACTCATCATTTCTGAAATGGAAAGGAAAAAAAGATGCCATAGCCTTTTCCTGGAAGTTTTGTTTTTCTTGTTCTGCTGCATTCCTAAACCCCATGTAGAGACTTCTCAGGGTTTCTCTGCTGCTGAACAGAGGGGCTGCGGCTCTAGTCCAAGCCTGCCTTACTTGGCAACAGGGTGGCTTTTCTGTGATCTTGACCAAGCTGGAATTCATACAATGCTGAAGAAATGCAAAAGAGACTTTCTTAATCGACTGCAAAAATAACACTTAATTGGGTTTTTTTGCATTTCTTTTTAGATCAAATGGTGCCTTGTCTAACCTCTGAATAATAATAAAATAACCCCTTTACATTTTGTATCTGTTGCTGTGTCCTCTTTGACCTGCAGACAGCGTGGAAGATGACAGGAGGCAGATGACAGCATAGCCAACTAACAACTCAGCTGGGTGGATCTTGGGCCTGATCCTATCTCGAGGATGTTGTTCTGTGCAGTTGAAAATGTGGCTTGTAATTTCTTTTATCTCTTTTCTTTTTTTTCTTTTCCCCTTGCTGAGTGTGTTGCGATGCTTTATATCACCATGGCAATGGTGTCTTTTGCCGGTTTTCTCTCTCCTGTTCCTTCATGCATGACGCTGAAATCGCTGAGCCCCTGTGTATTGTGACCCTTTCGGGCCAGAGCTCCCTTCTGGTGTTTTTAACTGATGTCATTCCTCGCCTTTTTCCTCCTCACTTCGTGTTGCCAGTGTGTGGAGGAGCTGTTTGTTTCCTTCTCTCCTCCTGCAGCAACTGGAAGATGCGTAATGTGTCTTCTGTTTCTGCTCGTTTGCTTTCTGCCTTTCATACCTTGCTGCATCCCTCCCTCCACCGGTGTCTCTAAATACGCAGGACAACATCTGCTTCTAACGCAGGGAACGAGAGCGTTTTCTGGCCTCCCTTTATCCTGCCTCCCCGGGGACGCTGACCCTGGCGCTCTGAGGCCTCTTGGAGGAAGGCTGTTCTAGATGAATCGATGGAGGGTCGTTTTTCTAGGTACCACCCTTGCAGCCCTGCTCGTGTTTGGGGCTTTGGTTTAGGCACTGGGGAGAGGCACCAGAAAGGATTAGGCTGCATATGCCCATTTCCTCCAGAAATGATTCGTTTCTTCAGCATAATTGGGTGCTCTTGCTCCTCCGCCATTCAGTCTCTGTGCTCTGGTGTTTTCATTACCTCTCTGTACCTCCGATTAGCGTTCCCTCTCTTTTGAGGGCAAGCTTGTGCCTCTCTGTTGTTGGTGGTGTTCTTCCCTTGTTTCTTTTGATGATGGATGTTAAACTATGCTCTTCCTCCTTGTTTGGGATTGTGTCCTCTACTACTTGCCTGCTGTTGTTTTAGAAACCTGTTCTGCCTGCTCCTCCTGGCTTTCTAGTACGTGGGATGGAGAAGTCTTGGCTCCTCTGAGCTGGGCTGCTTCTGTTTGATCCTTACCTAAGCATGGAGCGTGAAATGAACTGTTGGGGTGCTGTGGGAAAGGCTGCTGTGGGGAGGCTGTTTCGCTCAAGCCTGCATCGTCTGTAGTTGGATCTGTTCTGTGACCTGTCTCTGTCACGTTGACCTTGAATGTTTTCCACAGCAGGCGATGCTCTGCAGGTGCTGTAAATTCCTTCTGTTCAATGATTTCACTCCAGCAAGCTGCTTATCAGGCACTCTTTTGAAAACCATGTTCATATTTCATACACACAATTATTCAGCAACTATAAAAGGGGAAAATTCCTATATATAGCACAAGGACCAGCATCAAATAGGACACTGAATTCTCACTGATAGAGGAAGTGACCTGTTCTCTAATGCAGCTGAAAAGAAACAGCATCTTGGATGGGGGGGAGGGATGAAAAGCCCTGGGCCATCTCTTTCCATTAAAATGTGCTGCAGCCCTAAAAATACAGTATCTGCCCTCCTCCCTTCCTGATGAAACCATCTGCAAAAGAGAGGTTGCAGAAAAACCTTTCACTGTGGACTTGTGGTTAGTAATGATGAGTCCACTGACTCCTGATGGTCTGGTTTGGAGCTGGTCTTAAGTTTCTGATTGATACCTGATTTCTGACCTTGACCTGGGAGTGAGGAGAAGTCAGTCCGGAGTGCCTGCTGCGGGCAAGGGGCACGGATCCCTTGTCTGCAGAGAGTTTGTACAATCGCGGTACACGTGTGCAGGGCTCTGAGACAGAAAGAGCACGTGGGGCTGAGAAACAAAGAACTGGCTGAGAGCGATGAATGGAGGGGGTGGAAAGGTGGGAAGAGTGCGGGCACAGCGCTGGGGACGTGGGTGGTAACTGCTGCGGAGAAGGTGAGTGCCTGTTTTGTCTGAGCCTGCTTCCCACGATTGCCTCTGCTCTCCCTTCCCTTCCAGGTCTGTTGAGCCACTGCTTCCCCCCAAGGCCGTACTGGTATCGCTGGTCTTTGCCTGTCACTGTTCCCCGTTGTCACCCTGTCCTTCCCGTGGTCTCCAGGCTCTTTAGGAAGAGCTGCAGTGGGTGATACCAAGCGAGGCCCTGGGAGGTGGAGGACCAGAGGATGGGATTCCCCTTCCTGTCACTGTGGCAACCGTTGGGAAGGAGAGCGGCAGTGGGGTGTGATGGG